AGTCTAATGTTACCTCTGGCTCCAAAAATCAAAACAGCAGGATTGTTGTAAGTAGCTTTGGACTGAGCCCAAGCTCCAAGCCTGAGAGATGGGTTTTCTCTCCTGTTGAGCTGAGTCACAGGACAACTGTCTCAGAAAGAGAGGGGTGAAAGCCAGGCCTGAGGTGACCAGCAGCACCCTGCACTCTGCTCGCCTGTTCCAGGTGAATTCTCGCCATAACTATCAAACCAAAGCGCCCATCCCCCCAGAGCCCCCCCTCCACTTTTCCAGAGCTTTAGTGGTCCTCAAGCACGTCCGCCCAACAGTCACTGGCTGGAGCCCAAAGAGGGCCTGAGAAATCGAGAGAGAGATGTGGGTAGAGAGGAGCTAGATGGACGTCAGAGCTGGGAAGGCCTCGGAATGCCCAAGCGGCCTGGGCAGCCAAGGGGCGTTTGTTGGTCGGATCAGAAACGAAGACACTCTCAAGTGAGGAAGTTGGACTTCCCTCAGCCATCACAGGATGGCATTATTGTTCTCCACAGGCTTGACGAGGAACGGAAAGGAAGAGTGACTTTTTCTAGGTGGTGGTTCTGACGTTCAGACTGTGACATTTCTTGGACGGAATCCTGACAAAATGTATCCCTAGTGTCATTAGTGCTAAATAAAACCTTTTGTCTTTCTTTTCCTTAGCTCTCCGACTTCTAAGACATTAGAGGAGCATGTATTTTTAAGAATGTCTGTTTAAATCTCAAACCATGTTGTCTGTCCCTCTAGCTAGACAGACAGGTAGATTGGGGTGGGGGGGGGGGTGGAGGGGCGTCAAATTAAATGCAGCTTGGGCACAGCTAGTAATGCAGGGGCCTTCACATTCAGTCAGGGTGACTGAATAGTGTTTTCAAAACTCCTCTATGATTTGTGCCTCTTATTCACCCTTTTAAAATGTTCCCGGTGCACTGTCTTAAAAACAAGACATTGCAAGAAAAGGAAAGCTCTTTACTTTGTGCTTTCCAGTGTTAGTTTTGTATAGTCAGGCCTAGAGAACACGCTCTTGTTTTTCTTGCTATTTATGCTTTATCCTCCTTTCTGAACCTTTGAAGTGCTAATGAAAAGTTCTAAGCAAATAACCCAAGAAATAATACCCCGCAGCTCACTTGCTCCCCTGTGGACAGAGGAGCTCGTGCTGTAGGTTCAGGGGCGTGCGTGTGTGTGTGCGCGCGCTGTCCACAGTGTTCACGTTTTGCCAGTAATAGAAGCGTGTTCGTGCTGCTCTGTCTGTACTTGCCCTTTGCTTCCCCTGTGTCGGGGGGCACCCACTCAGGAGACAGCGACTTAGGAGCCATTGTGTGAAAGGGGTCAGGCTTCACTGGCCAGCACTGGGGACACATCTGGAACCTCAACCCACTTAGCCACAAGCTCTCGGGCCACAGAGTAGCTCAACTGCAGCCTTGTTTGTCTTGGTTTTAAACAATTAGAAGTCAGCCTTTAGAGCCATCTCTTGTCAACCCACAGGACAGCTCAGGAGCCTTTAGATGTTTACTGTCTCCCGTGAGGCTGCCCCCATGTGAGGCCTGGCCAAGTAGAAACCAGCAAATGCTTGACTTCAGGGCTGTGGCTGAACCAGGCCCAGCCTATTCGACCTTTCTCCAGGCAACCCAGGAGAGCCTGGGAGGCATGGCAGAGAATACAAATGTGTAGACCTTACTGGGGTCATCTCATAAAACCACACCCAGTCAGAGATGGAAGGAGCTCAGAGGTGCTTCATTTTACGCAAGGTGAGAAAACTGAGTCCTGGAGAAGTGCTCAGCCCGTAGCTGAGCCAGGACAGAGTGGAGGCCTCCTGACTCCAGCCCAGGGGAACCTGGACTCTAGAGCTGAAACAGGGCCCTGGAGACCCATTCTGTCATTTCACGGTGAGGAAACTCAGGCACAAAGGTTAAGTGACTTAGTGGTCGGGGGACATTGAAGAAATGTTTGAAGCTCGTTGTCATTACTGGAAAGACATGGAAGCCTAGTGTCCACGTTGAAGATAGACGTTTTGAAGAGCGCACAGCCAGGTACCTGTGGCCTCTGGGGAGGCCACGGTGGAGAGGCGTGAATTTCCTTCAGCCTCTGGCTCCGCCGCTTACCAGCTCTGGCCTCTTTGGCATTTTATTTTACCTTTTGAGCCTAAGTTTTCTTATCCATCCAATAGAGTTAATAATACCTGTGTCACAAGATTATTATGCAGATTTGAAGTCAGTCACTCACTCATTTAACTCATCATTCAACAGACATCTCTTAGGATCCATAGTATGCCAGATGCTCATAAGGTCCCTGCCTTCTTGGAGCCTATGTTCTAGTAAGGGAGACGAATAGTCCACAAAGTGAACAAATAAACAAGATACACACTGACTGTTGTGAAGGACGTAAAGCAATGAGCTGAGAGATGCCGCTTCTGTTTTTATAGTGTGGTCATGGGTGAGGTGGGAAGTACCTGGCACTTGGGTGGCCTCAGTATATGTCACTTCCCCTGATCTCCCCTACTGGGTTGGCTCTGTGAGCTCCTAGAATAAGGCTTGATGTCCTCGCTCCTGGATAACCTCAGCCACTCCAGGCTCATTCAGCTCAGGGGTTAGATGCCACACTCCTGGCTCCATCTTGAATGTTGTTGAACATGCCGCATAATCACACAGGAAGGCTGTGAACACCTAGGTCATGTTCCTGATGTCAGCTACGTCTTAGAAGTGACCCTCCTGTCCTCTTTACCGTAGCCATCAGCTCACATCAGGGCCAATCCTCCCTTCCAGTTGAGTTAACAGTGCCTGTGGCACAGGATTATCATGCAGATTTGAAGTCACGCATTCATTCATTTAACTCATCATTCAACAACGACGACTCTGAGACAGAGAAAGAAGGCCGTTCTTTAGGACCTACCTTCTCTCAGTGACATAATTTCGTTCTTTAAAAATGTTTATGAAGATGAGTCTGTCACCTGTAAGCCATTTGTCAGCACTTGTTCCTGGGTTTTCATGCAGGGAGGCCCAGAGCCTCCTATGTTTCTGTTACTAAGAGTCAGGAAACAGGGTTGCCCAGTGAGGAGTGTCCATGTGGGTGGCATAAGAGAAACAGGCTTAGGACCAGGTCAGTCGTGGTATTTCTAGTCTTTAGATTTGATTACTGAAAGTTATAAAATAAGAGCATACCTCACATTTGCATACTATTTTCATGTCAGTGATAAAAGCCAATGTTGATTGAGTGCTCACTCTGTGTTAGGCTTTAGAGAGAGCTCTTTTACGTGGCTCATCTCATTTGATTGTCACAACCCTGTGGAGTAGACAGGATGGTTAAATTCAAAATCTCAGAGTAAACTTTATCTCTTAAGAGCCTGAGTCTGAGTGAAGGTACAAGACTTGTCCCAAGTCACCCAGCTAATAAGGACTGGACTTGAGCTGCTCTTAAAAGCTGGGATTGTGTGTGTCTTACTCACAGCTATATGTTTAGTACTGTCCTTCCTACACAGTAGGCCCTCAGTAGATATTTGCTGAATGAATGAATGGGCTAAAACTCAAACTATCTGCCTGCCTTTCAAGTGCTTTTTCTAGTTACTTCAAAGAGTAAGTGAGTAACTATAGGGGCCGGCCCTGTGGCCGAGTGGTTAAGTTCACGTGCTCTGCTTCCGTGGCCCAGGGTTTGCCAGTTTGGATCCTGGGCACAGACCTAGTACCGCTCATCAAGCCATGCTGTGGTGGCGTCCCACATAGAAGAACTAGAAGGACTTACAATGAGGATATACAACTATGTACTGGGGCTTTGGGAAGATAAAAAAAAATGAGTAACTATATGTAAAGTGTTGGGACGTGCCTGCCATGTAATAGGTAATCAGTTATGTTAGCTATAAATGTTGGCCATAATCTCAGAATTGATTACTGAGTTTTTGTGGAGAACTTCTATAGAAATAATCATTGGCCAACTTGAAGAAAAACTTCATAATAAAAATACATGTTTGCCACTGATAGGTGAAGTTTATGCTATTTTATTCTATTTTTTTATGTGCTATTATATGCTATATACCGAATAGTCTTACCACTCAGGCTCTCACCCCATGTTGAGACTTTGTTTATGACATTTACTCACTCCAGAGTGAGATGGATCATCATTGTGACATAAACTTGAGTCAAAGTGAAAACGAGGCATTTCCAGCTCCGTGACCAGGCGGTGGGAGGACAGTCATGGGGTGCAGGTGCTTTTCCTGGGGCCTTCTCCTGGATCTGCTGTGAGCGATCACAGGGCAGTCTTTGACTCATTGCTCTTTCTAACTGAATACGTCATCATCAGAATTCCCCCAGAACCATGAGGGCAGGTAAACTCAGTGCCAGCGCCAAACGGCTCCTGCCGGAGTGTCTTTACCTCCGTAGGAAGGAATTCTTAGGAAAGCAACGTGCTCATTTTCTTTCCCATCCCACCCTCCTTAGAGATACAGTGTCCTTTCCTCAGGCCCTCATAGGAAAACCTCCAAATATGTCACTGGGTGGAGAAAAGGTTTCACATCTTCCAGTTATTTTTATTTCTAACATCAGGAAGTGCATGCTACCAGCCACATGACCACATGGAAATGTAGCATGCTATTATTCCAGCTGAAAGAGGCAGTGTGGGGGCTCTGACCTTTTCAGACCACCACCTCTGTACCCCACGGCCTCCTCACTCCTCTCCAAGTCGGCATGAGGGGTTTTCTAAAGTTTGAGGCCGTTCTAAGAACTAGGACTTTCATCCTCATTATTAGGGGATGAATTTCTTTTCTTTTTCCAACTCAGTCCGCCATCCTTTCTTGATTGTTAACGTCGTAGTGGCTTTGGTCATTTTTCTGAACAGCAGTGTGCTGGGTTCTGTGCATTCAGTGACAGGGCACAGAACTAACCCTGAAGGTACCAGGGGAATCCAATTCAAGGACCAAGCACTAGGATGCCTATGACTCTGGTGTCACTTTTCAAACTGGCTTTCCCACCCCGTCAGACCTGGGCTTTACCCCCGGTTCCACCCCACAGGCTGTGCCACCTGGACCCAGCCACTCAGCCTCTGCAGACCCCACTTCACCTTCCATCAGTGGGGTCTGCCATGTGGACCTTGGCGGGACATTGTGGTGACTGACCACGACGCTGCTTGTGGAGCTTCCAGACAGACTTGGTGTGCAGGGAGCACTCAGTGGGTGGTAGCTACACCTGTTACTAAAATGCATATTTTTCATGGAAAAGAATATGGTCGTGTTGCTGCCTGTGAGACACCTGATTCCATGACAGAGACTTATTACCACCTTGAAGAACCCTGTCCCCCCACGCCTAAGAACCTTGTGCCAGGCGGAAGCAGCAGAGAGTATGAGAGGTGGCCCATCAAGGATGCCCAGGCCCCCAAAAGAGCACGCAGCCGCTGAGTGGTCATGGTGCATCCAGAGAATGCTGGCCCAGGGTGGGAGGCATTCAGGGGGACTTTGTGAGTGGATGACAAGGGAATAGAAAACTGGGGGACCTAATTAAGTCCCAGTCGTGTCAGTAAGTGCTGGAAGTAGTGCCACATCCCTGAGCTGATGAGACTTTGTTGGCCAGACTGACCAGAAGAGCCCAGTGGGAGAAGTTGTCCTCTAAATCACAGTCGTTACCATTGCTGTCTGCGCACGCCGAGACTTCAAGCCTACGCTGGTGATGAGAAAGAGCTGACTGGAAACACCGATAGTCTGAAAAGTCTTAGGATTTCGTTAAACCAGAGTAGTTTTGCAAAGGCTTCTGGAGTATGGGCTACAGAGAGGATGAGGGAGCATCTAGGGTCGTTGGAGGTGGGGGAGGTTCGAGAATCCATTTGTGTCAATTCTGCATTGCCATGATGCCCTGGGAGCCATGGAGTGGAGTGGTTTTCATTAAAGACGTGAGGGATGGGGATTGTACTGTCTGTATTATGTTGTAACATCCGTGACCACAGTACCCTCCTTTTCAGGAATCCCTAGACACTTGTTTCAAGATTTAACTCAAAACTCATCTTGCCACAAAGCATTTCCTGCTTAACTCGGCCCCTCTCTCATCATTCTGGAACTCTGAGGATCCAGCACTTAGGTGTTTGGTCTTAATCGTTGTAAATGTTGTTTTAAAATTTCCATCACTCTGTGTGTGTGTGTGTAGGTCCCCTACCTACCCGCCTCTTTCCTTTTAATATCTTCTGAATCTACCTAACTAGTGTCATCCGCCTTGGTTCGGGCCATTTGCCCTCACCTGGACCAGACCCTGCCCCCGCTGCTGCCAGGTGCCCTCTAGTTCTCTGCGCTGTGATCGGAGTAGACCCCGCACAGAGCCTCTCTCTTCAGGTGGCCTCTCAGACCCTTCACTTGCTTTCCGGACCTTAGCGTGGAGGCCGAGTCTCCATGCGGCTCCTCTGCCTCCCCATCCTCCCGCCCCTGGGCCCGGCTCTCCAGGGCCTGCTCTTCCTCCGCCCCCTCTCTGCCCCCAGCAGTCACCTCGTGGCCTTCCCTCCGCGCTGCTCCCTCAGGAGGGACACACGTCCTTCCTCACCTGGCTGCCCCTCCACCACCCTCCAGCCTCTCGAGCCTCTTGTCCTTCCCTCTCTTACTACCCACTCTGTTATCATTGTTTTGATGTTGCTGCTGTGTATTCGTCTCTCTCCTCAAGAAGGCAGCTCTGTGAGGACAGGAGTGTGTGTGGCTACTGCACCCTGTGTCCTGGGCCCTGGCATGCACAGTGACTGCTGGCACAGAGTAGCAGACGCTCAGCCAATAGAATGAGTGAATAAATGACTCACGTAAGACAGTATACGTGAGGCACTGACCATTGTACCGGGGATACAGTTGGTCCTCAGTGTGTGATTGCTGGTGTCACTGGTTCATTCAGTCATCGGATTGTCAAGTGCCCGGCCACTGTGGGGACACAGCAGCAAACAGAACAGATAAAGACTGCTCTGCTCGTCGCCGTGCCTGCTGTGTGCGCGTCTCCCCTCCTCTGTCAGCCCACTTCCTCAGCCCGCCCCACCCTCCTCTCAGGACGCTGTGGCCCCTTCTCCTGTCCCCCCGGGACACAGGTCACTGAACGGCAGCCAGTCTCCCCCGAGTCACCTTGGCAAGGGAAGAGGCCAGGGCTGTCAGCAAACTCCAGCGCCTCCTCAGCCTGCTGGAGGAGGTGAGTCAGGAGGAAAACTGGAAGAGAAGCCCACATCCTGGTGATGGTGCTACCGAGGACCTGGGGCCACGTGCCTTCCCACTTCCAGAGACCACGAGCGTAGGCTCAGCGCCTGGGGGTGTTTGTCCAGCTAGGCCGAAGCCCTTCCTGAGCCCCCGTGAGGACTCACTGCGGGCCCCTGCACAGCTGAAGCCATCACCACCGGCCGGAGGCGGAGGCCATGCAGCGCAGGTCAAAACTCAGGAATGGTGAGGGGAAGCCCTCGTCTCCACGGTGACTCCACCCTGGTGAGAAGGCGGAGTCCCTCGAGAAGAAGCAACCCTCAGCACTGCGCAGAAGACCGCCTTCTCTGGAACCCCGTCTGCCACCCACGAGGGGCCGTTTCCCAGTGTGATGCTTCCCGTCCCACCCCTCCCCCATCCAGGTCCCTGCCGCTCTCAGCCAGCCATCAGGAAAGTGACATTAGCTGACCGGGACGCGTGGGTGATTGACCTTCCTACAGGTAATTGACATTCTCTCAGGAGTCCTTTGGACACTGGGTCTTGTAAAGCCCCAGAGCTGTCAGCCCCTATACCAGTTAGGGGAGGTGGGCTCCCCACATGCCACACCGCCACTTAGGAACTGCTGCTGCTTTTGATTTGCCTGAAACTGTGAGATTATAAAATCATCTTGTTTTCATTGCAGAAATTTCCAGAATTGAAATTCAAATATGTGGAAGAGGAGCAGCCCGAGGAGTTTTTTATCCCCTATGTCTGGTCTCTGGTCTACAACTCAGCAGTGGGCCTCTACTGGAACCCACAGGACATCCAGCTGTTCACCATGGATGCCGACTGAAGGCGGGCGCCGTCTCCCACCCTGACCCCTCCAGCCGAGCAGCCCTTCTAGTTATTTTCTTTCTGGCGAACAGAACCAGACCGACTGCCTGGTGCATCTTCTATTAAAGAGCATCACACAGGCGTGTTTCCCTTGCACACTCGGATTTGGAGAATTGGTGCCAGTTGGCAGTAGATCACTCAGCTTAGATTGTAGTGCAAAAAAAGTTGGGGGGGGCAATAATAAATGTAAAATCCTACCATTCCACCTGCAATTTTATTTCTAAACCAAAATTCTAGAGCTCTTCCAGGAACCCCTTGCCTTAGGCATATGACACTTCACCATACATCCTGGGATTTTGGGGGGTTTTTTTGCATGTTCAAGAATTTTTGTGTTGGTCTATTGTGTGTGTGTTTCTTTCAGCATTAAGAAATATCACTCTGCAAAGATGACAAGACAGGAATAGTAAGGAAATGAAGTCGTGTGTGTGCGGTTGCCTTTCAGAGGCCCACGTTTAATAACAGTCTGCCTGGGCAGTTAGATCGAAGCCGCTGGATGCTCTGTGTCTTTCCCTCAAAGACAGAGATGGCTCCTCCTCATGAAGCCAGGTTAGCTTTCCTGTGGGCTTGGCCTCTGAGCTGTAGCTGAGTTAAGTTGGAGTCTAGCACAAATTAAGTTCATCTACTCTGTATTAATCATTGGGAAAAGAAAAGCTTCATTTTGAAAGCAGTCTTTTTTCTTCAACCAGACTAGGAGGAGGAAAAGGAGACCAATTTGGTTAATACGGTGTTCCACATGAGGTGAAAACCGTGTTCTGCTCTTCGTCTCTGACTTTGTTTATTTGTGCCTATGCGATCCTCGTGTTTCGTCCCTGAGCTGGAAGAAGGAGCTTCGGGGCTGCCCCGAGCAGAGCGGGCCCTGAGGCAGAGTGAGACGGTCCTTTTGAGTCACACTTTGTGTCCCCGGCCACCCCTTCACAGTCTACATGAGGAGCCTGGTTTCGTTCTCAAAGATGGAAAAAGTGTTTGCTTTTTTGCGTAGAAAGCACATAATCGCAGATGACACCCAGCACACTGTGTTCAGCCTGCTGTGGTCTAAGCTGTATCAGGAACCAGCTTCTCTCCTGTCCCTGTGTCACTGGCCTGGAGCCCAAGTCATTTTGGTCCATTACTGTCTTCTCAGGGTGTGGGAGGAGCCATCTTCAGTCACACCAGGCTCTGGAACAGGTTAGAAACAGTGCCATCGCATCAGCCCATGTCTGTGTGACTGCCCCCCCCCCGTGAAAAGCCTGGGCTGCTCCATCCTTCAGAGTAGGCCAGCCAGGCGGTCTCATTATCCTGGCGGGAACAGGGGCTGAAACCGAAGCTCCCCGAGGCTGACTGACTGGTGAAGGGCCATCGCCGAGGGGTGGACCCGGGAGGCAATGGCAGCCTGCCCTCTGCCTCCTCAGGCCTCTTACCTGTCTGCACGGATGGCTGGGCTCTCCTGTGGTTCACTTAAGGTCACGGTGGACAGGGCCTCAGACCAGCCGCTGAGGCGCATTAACGGCTTCTGCTTAGTCTAGCTTGTGGGGAGAGGCCGTTTGAAGGTGAGGGGAGCGATCCTGACAGTCAAGAGGGGGAAATGATTTGGTTATCATTTCAGGTAGCCATTATTTTTATTTCCTATGGGGGGAAATGATAATACAGCTTTAACTGGTTTCCGTAGCCTTTTGAGTTACTTCCTTGCCTTCAAACCAAAACACAAAATTTTGAAAGGGTTACGTGGAGCAACCGAGCCTCTGGTAGGAGCGTGGAACCGTCCTCAGAGGCTGAGGCCTGGGCAGTGCTGTGAGACAAGCACTGGGCTGCAGGACTGTCCTTGTGACTTGGTCACAGAAGGTAAACTACCAAGGAAGCCTTGGTTGAAGGAATCCCACCGTCTCTTCCCCAGGCCACTCCCAAAGCCCCTTTCTCCAGCAGTGCCCTCTCCCTCCCCTCTATTTGAATTCACCGCACAGTAGAAGTGCTCACTGGCCTGAACGCTCAGCTGGGGCCTCGGCCTCAGAGGCCACCTGTGAATCCACGCACCCAGACCGCTGCCTCACTGCCTTGCCTCTGCAAGTCCACCAGGAGTCTCTTCCTTATTTTTGCGAAAGATTTATTACACAACAATAAATTTAAATGATAAACTTGAGTTAAGCTTGCGTTAATTTGCTGAGAGTTTTTCTTTGTTTTCCACAAAGTAAGAATGTGTAGAGTGAGACAATACAGGACCATCATGTGTTTGGATGGAAATTCACATCTGATTTTACCCAAGATACGAAGCCATTATTGCAGTGTGTCATCTCATCAACAAGGGGTTCTCCCACAACGTTTATTTTTAAAAGAATGGGCCCCTTTCGATAGCACCTTCCCTCTCAGGAGTTCAAGGCACTGTGTGAAAAGGCTTTAAATTCTGACTCTGGTCCCACACTCGCCCATTGCGGCTGGTGTCGCAGGATCCGTGAACTGCCTTGCAGTGTTGTCATCACAGGCCGGCCACCATTCAGCGGTGCCGAGGGACGTGGGGGTATGGAGCAGCTCAAGGACAGAGACGGAGAAAGGAAAGGAAAGAAGGTCCCTGAAGGTGAGGCACAGAGAGTACACTGCACACACAGTCCTCACCTTTGGAAGGAAATCGCAGGAGCTGGAAAAGCGGAAGTTGTGGAGAGGAAGGCGCATAGGAGCGGCATCAGTCAGCACACTCAGCAGCTCCCTCAAGCTTGTTGAGATATGCCCCAGAGAAACATTTAGTGGGTCCTGAATTTCGTATTCTTTGGGCAACATGCTGTCCTTAGGTTCTGGGGAGCCAGGGGTTTGCGTTAGGCATTAAAGCTCTCCCCATAACTGAGTCACTCTGTGCTCCTTTCCAGAGCCATAAATTAGAGTGGTGGTACCTGCTGATACTTTGTAGGCTGGAGTTTGCAAGGTCAACCCTTTGGGTCCTAGGCACCATGCCTGCAGTTTAGTAGCTGCCGCTTGATAGTAGGACCTGACCCTTAGGCTTTCTGATGCCAGATTCGGGGCTATTCTGGTGTCCTGCATCACCTCCAGGGGTCAGGGAGGTCAGGGTTTCCATTCTCTGATGAAGAGCCAAGCTTCCTATGAATGCAAAAAGCGAGGCCTGGAGTATAGCACACGATCCATAGCAAATAATGTATTTTTATTTTTTAAGAACTCAAGGGATAAAATTTAATCTTGTTAGGGTATATCCATCTGGAGTCCCCCCCTCAGAGCAAGAGAGATTCATCAGGAGCCCCCCCACCACTTTGGTCAGGTCACGTATGGCAGCTTCTCCTCTCCTGACTTCACAAGGCTTATCAAAAGAACCAGCTGCTCAGACATGGCCTCTGCAATTAGCAAAAGCTACCCCCCCCCCCCCAGGAAAAGCAGCCCCATATGACTAACCAGGCTCTCTCTCACCATCCTCTTAGCTCTGGGATGACGTCAAACGAAACTTGAAAATATTTTGACTTAGGGGCTGGCCCTGTGGCCTAGTGGTTAAGTTCGCACGCTCCACTTTGACGGCCCAGGGTTTCACCAGTTCGGATCCTGGGCGTGGTCACAACACTGCTCATCAGGCCATGCTGAGGTGGCATCCCACATAGCACAACTAGAAGGACCCACAACTAAAAATACACAACTATGTACTGGGGGCTTTGGGGAGAAAAAAGGAAAAATAAAATCTTTAGGGGGGAAAAAAAAAAAACGTTTTGACCAGATTTCCAAGTTGTTCTTAGCTGGAGAGTTGGGCTGGATTACCTGGTCCCCATTACTCTCAGTAGACTACACTTCAGGGGTACTGTAGCCCAGCTTCTGAATCAGCAGTCTCTGAGTGTGCATTGAGGTAAAATCGGGTTGGTAGTGCCCCCAGGCGCCTAGCGCATTCTCTCTGGAGGAAGTGAACTGTCATGAACTGACTATACCCCCTCAAAATTCGTATATTGAGCCCTACCCCCCAGTGTGATGGTATAAGGAGGTGCAGCTTTGGGGAGGTAATTAGGTTTAATGAGGTTGTGATGGTGGAGCCCCCATGATGGGATTAGTGCCTTTATGAGAAGACACGTGAAGGAGTGCTGTCTTTCTCTCCACTGTGTGAAGACATAGCAAGAATTGTGTGCAAGCCAGGAAGAGAGCCGTGCCAGGAGCCGAATCACCCATCACCTTGATCTTGGACTCTCCAGCCTCCAGAACCGTGAGAAACAAACGTCTGCTGTTTAAGCCGCCTGGTCTGTGGTGTTTTGTTACAGCAGCCCAAGCTGACTGAGACAGGAGTGTAACCCAAGGCCTCGAGTTATTTCTACAGCGTTATAATCGCAAGTACGCAGGTATATGAGATGACCAGATAATATGAATTATGTGAGTTAGCACCATCAGAGGGAAAAAAAGAAATGCCCACAGTGTCCAGATACAGCAGTCACAGAATTTGAAACAGCTATGCTTTCTGTGTTCAAAACCACGTGTTGCCAACAATTTCAGAGAATTAGAATCTATAAAAAGGGACCAAATGGAAATTCTAGAACTGAAAAATAATAAGATTTAAGAATAATTCGGTGGATGGATTTAAGAGCAAATTAGTCACAAC